ATCCCTAGTGCCAGAAAGAAAGAAAGAAAGAAAGCAAGAAAGCAAGAGAGCAAGAGAGCAAGAAAGCAAGAAAGCAAGAAAGCAAGAGAAAGGAAAGAAAGAGAGAGAGAGAAAAGAAAGGTGGCAGAAGATTTTGAGACAATGGTGACAACTCATTTGAGGAAAAGTGGAGAAATGGCCAGGCATGGTGGTATACACCTGTAATCCCAACCCAAAAGGCAGAGACAGGAAAACTGCCATGGGTTTGAAGGAAGTTTGGGTTACATTGCAAGACCCAGACTCACAAAAGAAAACACAAGTAGTGAAATGGATGACTGGAGGAGAAAGCATTTTCTGTGTGTGAGCAAACATACTGTATGAAAGAATAGTATGTTTGTGTGTTTCTAGAAATGGCCTAAGAGACATGAAATAATTGGTAACATAGGAGAGAGTGGAGACAACTGAGAATGGTCCATGAGTAGGTGAGAAGGGATCTAGTTTACCAAGGGAGAATTTGGCTTTTGATAGGAATGTGGTAATTCCTCTGTAGTAATCAGGGCTGAGAGCATGAGGTAGAGCTAGGTGGGTAGAGGAAATTTTCTTCCTGTTGTCTGATTTCTTAATAAGTGTGAGGTTTGGGGAGGTGTAGTTGGGAGCATGAAATAATTCTCTAGAACAATGAAAGAATAAATGGATTAGAGAAATATAGAATTGCTGAGGTCTGAAAAAGGCTGCTTAATATTCTGCTCATGAATTAAAATATGGCTAGGTTTTTTTTAATGTTCACCTGAATAGGTATAGGCATGAGATAGGCAGATAGTTTTGATCAGGCTTGAGGTTTTGTCTGATGAATACAGCTCTGGGGATGTATGGACATCTTTGGGAGGCCGTTATTCTGCTTATCACACTGGAATTTTGGTAATGGGCAGTTGAAAATAAAAAATTGCAATGCAAGGTGAAAATAGATTTATTTCATAGACCTTTATTAAGCTCATATTCTGTACTGATTACTGTGCCACATCCTGAGATTTTCAAGATGCAGTTCCTCCCTGTTACCTCTTGATTAAAAGGTGTATACACATGTAAATAAGGAGTCTAATATATAAGGACCACAACTAGTATAGAAGGTAGGCATCAGTCAAAAGATTTTCTTTGAGAACAGGAGTGGGAAGTTTTACTTCAGGTAAAGAAAATGTACAAGGTAGTGCCTTTAGGTACTGCAAATTGTGCCTTATACCTGACAAAGAGAGATAAGGTTCTTATCCTTCAAAACAGGAGATAGAATTCAAATCTTAACTTATGGAAGACTTTGTACTGCAACATTATAAAGTGAGACTTTATATTATGTGTTATATCCAGAAATTCATTAGAGGCTTTGAATTTTAATTTAATTCAATTAAAAATCTATTATCTATCTATCTATCTATCTATCTATCTATCTGTCTGTCTGTCTATCTATTTTTGAGACAGGGACTCACTGAACAGTTCAGGCTGGCCTGGATTCACTATGTAGATAGGGTGGCCTTGGACTCATTGAGATCCTCCTGCCTCAATCTCCAGAGTATTGGGTTTACAGGTGTGTGCCACCACTCATGAGGCTTTGAATTTTAGATTAAGAACATTTTTCTTGGTAACATGGAGAATGGATTAAAGACAGCAAATTTGAAACCTGGAGATCAGTTATAGTATTATCTAATGCAGATAAGAGATAAAGGCTTGTAGTAGGTAAAGTTAGAGCAATATAGTTAAGGAGAAGAACTTTAAGGGATAATTCAGGAGTAGATTGACAGGGCTTAATGGCAGTTAGATTTGGAAAGTGGGATGTTAGAGGAGTCATCAAGATGTTATCTGCCAAAATTTGAGACTCACTATAAGGAAAGTGCCTGTGTTCTAAGACAGGGGATTGCTTTACATGGGAATTTGTGAGTGATTTATTGTCTTGCAATCCTTTTCAAATGTTAAAATTACTTACATCAGTATTGAGCTGGGAATTAAGATTGCGGAACATGGTAGATTGCTTTTGTTGACTTAAATAAGGGATAATTATTTGTATTATAGGTCATACTTGCCTCAATTTTTGCATAGCAAAATAGAGTTATATACCTAAATTTTTGTGTAAGTTGTAAATTTACACAATTTCACAATGTTTGAACACTTTTTTTTTTTTTTTTGGCGGAACCAGGGATTGAACTCAGGCCCTTGCACTTGCCAAGGAAGTGCTTATTCCACTGAGCCTTCTCCCCGGCCCCAAGTAATTTATATGAACACACTTTTTTTTTCCACAATGTTTGGAAAACATTCAGTGTACATATGTTATCTGTAATTGTACTTAAATAATTGCTTTAGAAAATATAGATTGCGTAGCTGTTGATGTAATTGTAAACTCTGGAACCTTTAAATTTGCACTACTAATAGTTGTTGCTTATTAAGTGCTTTTCATGTACTCTGGCTCTTTGTATTGATTTTGTCATTTAATCTTTACAACAATGGGTAAGTACTCTCATGAAGAAGCTGAGTTGAGAATCTAGAATCTTTTTCATGCCTATGCTGTTTTATCATTAAACTTCATTTCCTTTTGTTTACATAATCATTTAAAAAAATCTCACTTTGATTTTATTTGCTTGCGTTTTTGAATCTAAGACTAGTAGAATCTTGAGTGTGACATTTGTTGAATCATTAATTGATCGTTGACTATAATGTTAAGCCTTCTAGTCAAGAATTGACATTATGGATTACTCCTTATATTTTGATCAATATACAATGCTTACAGCTGTAATTGTTTTTTTGAGGATTGTATTTTACATTTTAGTGTAGGAAATACTGAATATAAACTGAGTACTAGATGCTTTACACTAGTATAAAATGTGTTAAATAGCTAAGAATCAATAGATAAATCTTAGATATTTCTAATTTGAGACTACAGAATGTTTTATAACATTTTACTAAATATAGATTTGATACTGTATTGCTAGCTATTTAAAACTGTTCATTATACAATAATCCTTTATAACCTATATTTAAATGTAGACTTACTTAGCTAAATGTCTTTTATGGACTACTAGACATGATGTCCTTGGTCAACTAGTTATGGACCTCACCTTTTAGTAGCATATGAATAATAATAAAAGAGCATGTTAGTTAAATTTTATAGATTAGAGGCACATTCTAAGGAAGCAGTCCTAAATCTTTGTTCAAGAAGTAAAACTGTAATAGCTGTTTTCAAAATAGCCTAATACATGCTAAACTTTTATTTATGTAGATAAAAGGTATAATTTTTGAGATATACATTACCTAAAAATTGTCTAAAAGTGACAGATATTGTATTTAAATGATTTATTTTTCAATTAACAGTTTAACTTATCAGATCTTAATATGGTTTTATTGATTCCAGTGTCTTTTGCACATTTAATGATTTTTATAACATGTAACTGCCTATTAAGTGTTGGTTGTAAGAATTAGATAACCAGCTAATATGGAAGAAATGTTAGGATATGATTAGTTCAGGTAACATGATTTTCTGTGTAAGCTACATGGAAAATATGAAAATATTATGGTTCCATGTATATAATGATAATATGCTTCTAATTTTTTATTTTTGTAGCTTATTTTGTTATTTATTTTGTAATTTTTTATTTTTGTAGCTTATTTTGTTAGAGACTGAATACGCAAATTTGTTGATTCTAGTAATTATAGGTAAAATAATTTGAAAAATCTAGGGGGGATTTGTGGTATAACTCAGTGATCCCCTAGCATGCACAAGCCCTGAGGTTCAATTCTTGACATCTGGCCTCCCAAAAGTAGTTATATAAAATCATTGTCATCTGAAATAACTTTTTAGTAAATGTGTCAGTTCAGACACATTATCTAATTCTCAATTTAATAAGTTAATTTTACAGATAAAGAAACAGATTTCTCAAACCTATCTTAGGTCACTTGGCTAGAACCAGGATTCCAACCAACTTTTGTATGGGCCAAAGTCCTTAACTAGTAAATTAGATTGTGGTAGACTAAGAACAATAGAGCTATAGCAAGAGCATTTTTATCAAAGTTTGTCATATGGAGTCCAAGTCCAAATTATTTTGCTTCAGGAAGTATCTTTTTTTACCATTAATGCTAAATAAAACACTTTCAGTTTCAGCCACTAATTCAGAATCTGTGAATATTTGATGATACATAAAATTAAAAAGTTGTAAGGGGCTTCTTTGAGGTCTTACTGTTGACATTCAAGTAACACATTGATTGGAATAGGAAATGTTAGAATTCAATATATTAATGAGTAGGGGTTGTGAGATACTTCCTGTAAAGAGCCAGAGAGTAAATGGCTTTGAGAGCCATATGTTTTCTCTTGCTACTATTAAGCTCTGTCAAAGCAGCTGTAGACACTCTGTAAACAAGAGAGCAAGACTTTTCCAAAAGTCTACACAAACAGACGGAAATCTGGGTTTGGTACATTTGATGACTCCTGTTATAAATAATCTTATATAGAATTTCTGTAACTGAAAGCTAAGATTTGTGAGGGAACTGGAAGTTTTTCTTTATTGAATGTGTTGGCAAAAAAGAGATTTACCTAAATAGTAAAGAAAACCTTTTCAGCATTTCTATGACTACCTAGATAATTCCATAATTCCAGAATGTATGTATTCACTTATTTCTTAAAGTTACTGATTTTAATCTCGAAAAACAAATGTAATATTTGGAGTTTTCACTAATTCTGATCAGCTTTCTTTCCTTTATTATAAGCAAACATTTAATGTAGAAAGGTATAATAACATAATTCGGTGATTATTAAATTGAATTTATTTTTATATTAGTAGATGAATGGATGTGGACATAAACACGTACAGTTGAATTTAGGTTCACAAACCTAGTATTCTGTTTTGAGTGTTACATTTATGGATTCCTTATAAGCAATTTTTACTGTACAGTGCCTTTTGATATCACAGTATTTTAATAAATGCCATTGGTCATAGTGGCCAATATACAATATTGATTATTAAATCTAGTATGTTTACTCTTCTCAGAGATTCGTCAGAGAACAGTTGCTCAAAGAAACCTTTCTCCAGCACCAGCAAGCTCTAGTCAGGGACCTCCTCAACAAGTTCCAGTATCTCCTGGACCACCAAAGGATTCTTCAGCCCCTGGTGGACCACCAGAAAGAACTGTTACTCCAGGCCTTCCATCAAACATGTTACTAAGACGTCTTGGATCCCCTGCTACTTCAGTGCCTGGAATGGGTAAACAGAGCACTTAATGTTATTTACAGTTTATATTGTTTTCTCTGGTTACCAATAAAACAGGCCATTTTCAGATAGTATGGAAATGGCATTTCATTTGGAAATAGCAGAGCAGTTATCTGATTAAGCAGGAGTTCCATATTCAATTAGCCATAACTCTTTACAGCTGGCACCTTGTGATACTGAAACCTATTTCTTGAGCTCATTTAACTGTTATGGCTTCTTTGTTTAAATGGCAATAAAACTGTAGTATTCTGTAGTCAACAATATAACATACCTTTTTATATTCAACTTTAGAATGGCTTTATATTTATATATAATAGGAATAAAGAGAACACTTCTGGCAAGTATTTTTTTTTTCACTAATCCCTCCACATTTTTATTTTTGCAGGTACAGTTTTAAATATGATAACATATTTCAAGAAGAATATTCTTGCATTGTAATGCTCACTATTTTGTTAATATAGATTATAGATTTTTTTTTCTAAGTCTTAGAATCTTAATATTTTCTGATTTTTTTATAAGCTTCTATTAACATTGCCTTTTATTTCTTGGATTCTGTTTTAGTGTTGTATCTGTAGGAGATTTTGCATTCTGGAGCACACATTTAGCATACTCCTCTAGGGTTTTGTTTGAAGTGGGAATGGGACATGGAAATGCACAGTGTTAGCATATCACATAATTTCATTTGGATTTCTGTTTAAATGATTGAATGCTAATAGTATTTATTTTAGGATACTTTTAATTTAGGTTACTTTTATATTTCATGATAAATTATTAACATAAAATATAGTGATTCTGAAGCTAGGTAATCATTGTCATAGGTAATTAGATCATTAATGTATAAAATCAATAAAAATCTGAATGTTACTTATTTTAGATATTTTTTGCCTATTTTCCTTAAAAATGCAGCATAAAATTTTAGATTAGAAAAGTATTAATTTATAAACAAATTAGGAAAATGACTACAAATAAAATGTGTACAAATCTTACAGCTTTTAAAATAACTTAGAACATAGCTTTTAAGTTTGACATGTAGTGACATTACTATCAGACAGTTCTATTTTAATGAACTTTGTTAAATTGCTTAAAAACTAACCATTTTTCAGTTGTTTTGTAGTTAAATTGAGGTGCTCATCTTTTATAAGTCACAGTGTCAATAGCTGAAAACTTGTAGTTATGTACATTTGTGAATCCAGTTTTAAAGAAATAAAAGTATAGCAACTTATATACTAATATACTAATAAAAACTGTATTATATATACAAGGCTACAGAAGCAACAATGACCTAAATTTTGCTAAAGTTTCTTATTAGTTTCTGTGTGAAACAGTTTATATTGTACATTAGCAAAAATATGAATGAGTTGAATGATTTATTATAGTATTGGTTAATTCATTTTTTCATTTTACCATATTTGTGCAAGAGAATCAATTTAATATGTATTACCACAGAGCGCCCATATGTTTGAAAATTAATAAACAGCAGGTACTTGATAATTTGCCAAGCTATATAAAAATGACCAGTGTTCTACAATGATTGCTTTCAAGGCTTGTGTTAATTACTGTTGTTCTTAGCAGCATGAATGTGAAGATGTATCATTTAAAGTTATTATTATGCCAGGTTTGATTTAGTATACTTTTTTGAAATCTATTCTTTTGTATGTTCCATTTGCTTTGTGGACACGTTCACTTTAAATATATAGAAGTAGGGCTGGGGTTATAGCTCAGTGGCACAAGTGCCTGGCTGGCAAGCACAAGGTCCTTGGTTTGATTCCTAGTACCCAAAAAAAAAAGTAGAAGTGAAATAATATGGTGAAAGTTGCATTAAATGCTTTGAAATTCTAATTTGGGAACTGGGAATGGAGCTTAATGGAGAATGTTTATGTATAATGCCTTTGGTTGTTTGGTTGGTTGGTTGATTGGTTGTTGGTGGTTGGTGGTTGATTAGATTGATTGATTGATTCTTTAAAGACGGGGTCTTGCTATATAGTTCATACTGGCCTTGAACTAATTGTAGCCCAGGCTGGCTTTGAACTTGTAGTGATCCTATTCCTGCCTAAACCTGCCAAGTGCTGGGATTACAAGCATGTGCTACCACCACTGGTATTACCCTTAGTTTAATTGATAATACTGATTAAACTAAAAAAATACCAGGCCGGCCAAGTAGCTCAGTGGGTTAAAGTCCCTGCAAGCAGGCTCAGGGGCCAGGGGTTCAATCCCCAGGTCCTTCCGTACAGGCCCTGCACCCGGGGTGCACTGAGACAGCAATTGAGACTGAGTGTGATGGTGTGTGCCTGTAATCCCAGCTCTTGGGAGGCTGTAAACAGGTGGATCACTGAGTCCAATCTAGTAGTGAGACCCTGAATACCCTGTAGACCCTAAAAAACCAAAAACCAAAAACCAAAAAAACTAAAAAATATCTAATTTGGCATGCTTCTTCAAGTTGAACATTTGATCATAATGAATTACAGTGACAACTTTTATGCTTATTTTTAATGATAATGGAACATGATTAGCACAAGTAATCAATAATCAGTATCTCATGCACTTCATTAGTAATATTAAGAATTTGCTCTAGAAACTAAACTTTCTTTTCTAATAACAATAATTTTGGTATCAATTATGTCTCTTTTAGATAGTGACAGTGTTTACAGTCATTTATAAAGAACGTTTACATTTCTTATTCCTTAAAGGTATTAATATCTTATTGCTACTTGAAAGCTAGGCTTGAGTATGTTTGTGTCTAGGCATTTTGAAGCATTGTATTCTTGTTTTGCAAGGCTTATTCTAGTAGGGACCTTTTGTGTTTTAGGATCTTCTTCATGTTAACCTCACCTTAATTAATGAATTATTAACCCTTTCTATAATAAATCATTCGTATTTTTGGCAGTGTTCATTCTGTCTTATTTTTAAAGGGAAGCATCATATTTTATGTTATTCTTAATGTCTTTGCAGTGTTTTTTGTGTTGTCTCTCAATTAAGAGTATCTTCTTCCAAATGCTTTTTTTTTTTTTTCTTCAGCTTTCCAAGGTCATAGAGTTGTAATTTATAGAGTATAACATTTGATTATTTTTTAAAGGAGGAAAATAAAAATTTATTATGTACACAGACATGGAAAACACATACTAAGTATATGACTTATTATTTTTAGATAGTAAGACTTTAAAATAATTATTCTTCCATTTCCCATTAGTCTCTTCTATGTGAATTATGTGAATACAATATTTCTTGTCATTTATTTTCTCAGTGATGTTTTATAGAGTTAGTGCTTCTCACTTTAAAAAAAAAATGTATTTAGTACAGGGGTACAGGGTCTACAGGGTCTCACTACGTAGATTGGACTCGTAGTGATCCACCTGTTTTCAGCCTCCCAAGTGCGGGATTAGTTTCCCACATTTTTTATTATATTTTGGTGCCTGTGTGAATGGTATTTTATGAAGTATTTAGAATTTATCGTGGCCAGTATTTATAAAAGCTAGTACTTAGATTTTTGTATGTTGAATTTAATATCCTCTAATGTTCCTGAACTCACTTATTTGTGCTATTGTCTTTCCTTTTTTTTTTACATAGACAATCATAATGTCTGTAAATAAAGAAAATTCTGTTTCTCTTTTTCCAATCTGTCTTCCTTTTACTTATTTTTTTTTTATTCTACTAGCTAAACTTTCAGTACATTTTTAAATAGAAGTGATGAAAATAAATATCCTTTCCTTTTTTAGAAAATAGATATCTCTGTCTCATTATTGATCTTAGGAGCGAAGCAATTATTCTTTAGCAAGAAGTTAACCCCAGGTTTGTTTATTATTATTATTATGCACTGAGAACTGAACTCAAGACCTAGCACTTGCCAGGCAAGTACTGTGCTGCTGAGCTATACACCCTGCCCTCAGGTTTGTTTTTAAATAAATACCTTTTCTCAGGTTGAGCAAGTCTCTTTCTAGTTAGCTGACGGTTTCTATCAGCAGTAGATGCTGAATTTTGTCAAATGATCTTTCTGCATTTATTGAGATATTCATATTGGAATTTGTTCTAATATTTGTTCACTTAGTGAATTACATTGATTTTTTGTTAAATATAACTCACTTTGTCAAGATGTACTTTTTTAAAAATGTATTTAGTACAGGGTCTACAGGGTCTCACTACACAGATCAGACTCGTAGTGATCCTTGCTGTTTTTCAGCCTCCCAAGCACTGGGATTACAGGCACGTACCACCATGGCCAATCTCATTTGCTGTCTCAGCGCACCCGGGGGTGGGACGGGCACAGCAAGCTGAGGATTGAACCCCTAGCCACTGTGTCTGCCTAAGCAGGAGCTTTAATCTGCTGAGCTATGTGTCCAGCCCTACTGTTTTTTTTTTTTTTTGAACATGTACTGTTTTATATATATTTTTACATATCTTTATTTGTAGTTGTAGTCCCATTTGATTTGTTAACATTTTATTAAAAATCTTTATACCAGTGCTCATCAGGGATATTGACATGTGATTTTATTTTATCCTAAGGATATTGGCGTGTAATTTAATTTTATCCTAGGGGTATTGACATGTATTTTTATTCCATTTATTTGTGCTAGAGATAAATCTAAGGGCCTTATGCATGTTAGACAAGTACTGCATCACTGAACTACATCTTCAGCCCTATAATTTTCTTCTATATCCTTTTCTGGTTTTAGTATCAAAATGTTACTGGACCCCTTGGTTCTTTTTTAATTTTCTGGACAAATTTGTGTATAATTGATATCCTTCCCCAAATGTTTGGTGGAATTTTCCAGCTGAAGCATCTGGTCTGAAGATATCTTTCTGGAAATGGTTTTATTTTCTCCTTAAACTAAAAAAGTCAATTTCTTTTTGAGACAGGTTATATAGTACATGCTGGCTTTGAACTTACTAGGCAGCCCAGGCTGGTCTTTTTTTTTTCCATAATTTTATTGAGAGACAAATAGCAATGAGACAGTTTCAAATCAAATTGGGAGGACAGTTTCAATAGTTAACACATTGCATACTCTCTTCCTAGTGGTTATTTGCTGTACAAGATGCAGACATGATATCCTATTTGCAAACACTATTAGAACAGATCCCTCTATTCATTAAGAGAATGTAGCTATATATCTATCCTAACCATTTTGAATACACAGATACAAAATGGCCATTCATCTGTATCACCTTTTTTGTTTACTTCTTTTTCCCATAAT